AGGGTGAGTGTTTGAAGCTCCTTGATATAATGATCCTTGGCAACTCTGAGAGTTCAAAGTAAATTGGCAAGGTTAAAAAAGGCTTTCTGCCACCGAGCAAAATAGAGAAATCAGCCAGCTATGTTTAATGGAATTTTCATCAGTGCTCAACCAGTCCCTCAAATGGGTTGTATAAGATAATGGCTGCACGGGTTCATTACCTCCTTGTCAAATTAAATTTCTTTTTCTCCTGCAGGCAGATTGGATAGTGATTACAGATCTAACCAAAAAGAAGGCTCCAACTTTCACTCTGTAAAAGTGGGACAGGGCCACAATGACGGCAAAATGAGTCTGTTTCATCTCAGGACCTTTGTTGTGAGCTGACCCGGCACATCGCAGAGAGACGAGGTGTTTAATGTGCTGCCACGGTGGCTTTTCTCTCTCTTTGTGCGACTCTTGTAGCTCTTAAGTGAAGTGTCCTTTGTAAAAACACGGTGATGCACACGCACACGAGTGGCGTTTACTTCAGTGAAACGAAATCAGCAGATTGCAAAGTTGTTGTTGCTGCATTCTTCCTCGTTGTTGTTTTTTTAACGGTTTGAAGCAGCGACGCAAAACTCGACAAACAACACAACCTGAAAATAAATTATAGACATAACAACTGTGAGTGTTACAGTCCTGAAGATTTTTGGTTGATTTAATGAAACTTGTGGTTTTAATAATTGAAAAGTATTAAAGGGGCGAAACTGTGTTTTGAGCCTTGAAATGGAAACTTAAGTATTTTTTTAGTTTTAAAGTCCGTGGAGCACTTTGTAGACCTGTTTTTTGAAAAGATGTTTTAATTTTGTAATAATGCTGTTTCATCATTACGCCATTTATACCATATGATGTAAAAAAGCTCCGAAGAGCTTTTTTTTTTTTATTCCTCTGTGGGGAAGAAGAATCACACGAGGCCGTGTCTGTCAGGACGACCTCACGATGATCAGCGATAATCGTCTGAGAAATGGAACGAACACAGATAAGGGTTCACGGCGTCTTCAAGTGGGGGTCAGAGTTTTTCCATATCTGCTCATTTCCAGAGCTGACAAATTAATACGTCGTTGCAAATCGTGCGAGCCGACATTTTTACCTTCACAGTCACTTTTGTTATGAGACTTTTTTTCGTTTTTTTCTGAAAAGCAGAAAAACTCAAACCATTCATCAATTGTGAGACGGGAGGGCGCGACGTGCATCTTGATCGTCAGTCACCTTGCAACAGCGATCTGAAAACTCCAACCGCTTGAATACCAAACACGTTGTGCTCTTGACTCCTCGTGTCGAGAAACACAAGCTGGCAGGTTTTTATTTGAAGGCAGCATTAGTCATCGGGAAACAACACTGACAAAAAAAATACCGCTCCTGAACACTCTCAATGATTAAGAAATATTTGTTGTTAAGTTCTGGAATGACGAGTGTTCTCGTCTGTCGTGGAAATGTCTTGATTCTAGTTGTAACCTCGAGGTCCTCTGGTCAATATCTGATGCTCAGGAGATAAAACAATTTTAATTCTGGCTCTTTGTGGGACGACTTGTCAACGCAAGACAGACAGTTTTTAAAAAACATGAGGTGAAATGTCCTTAATGATTTGTGATTGGTTGAGCTTGTTTATCGGCGGTGCCTCAGTCTCCTGATCGTCACGGCTCAGACTCCGAATGACGCCTTCGGATGTAAGAAGGCTGTTTTTCGTAACCCGGAAATACTTTGACTTCATTTCTGCATCATGGAAGGAAGTAGAGACGCATGGTCCATCTTTATTTACAGTCTGTGATCTACAGCCTCCTGCATCCCCAGCCCAAATGTGGAGGAAGTGGCTTTTGTCGTGAAACACTTAACCAACCAACAAACAGAAAGAAAGAATCATAAAGTTTTATTTTCCTGAACCAGAAAACGAGCCTGCAATTTGTGCTCTCGCCACATGAATCTCTTCACGCTGGAGGAAAATTAGGTTTGCAACACAACACGATCTGCATTTCAGAATTAATTCTCATTTCATGAAATTTTATGAGACTAGTTATTTATGAGCAGATGCAGCTCCAGCAGCGAACAGACTCTCATCGGAGGAGGAGGAGGTTTAGTGAACGAGGTGACGGATCGTTCGTCCAGGACAAGTGAGACGCTGCCCAACTCCCTCTCTTTCTCACTAAATTGTAAACAAAGAGTCATTTTAAATTTTTAAATACTAAGTTTGAAAAAAAAAATGTCTGTGACCAATCGGACTTTAAATCAGTCTGAGTTTATTCTGATCCAGATGTTTACATGTGTGGACGTTCGAACCATTTCTAATCAGATTATTATTAATATCTGTGGTGCAGCTCTCATGTGTCGATATGAAATACACATATAAAATATGTGTGAGATCTGAAACTGGGAGCAGCTGAAACAAAACAAATCTTTCTCTGTGAAATCTAAAAATAATTCAGCATCGCTCCGTCGTTTCTGTTGGTTATGATAACCCAGTGTTTTAATAGTGATGGAAGCGATTACAGTTATTTAGATGGACTGTGACTTCATGCTCCTTGACAATCCAATATGTGACATTTTAAAAAGTTGCGAGACAACTTTCTCCAGTTTTTGATTACATTTCCCAAAGTGCCACATCCAGTGTTGTTGCCTACTGAGGAGATGATGAGCAGCAGGTTATCTGGGGCTCAGCGTGAGGGTTGCCTCTCTGCAGATATCCTGATTGTGTGTCTGCGCTCAGAGGGAGACGCCTCCACTGTCTGCGAGACGACTCTTTTCCCAAACACCAACTTTCCTCTAAAGTGGAGACGGTTCCAGTCGAGCCTGCACAAACAAACTCTGTCAAAATAACTCTCACTGGCACCTCCGGGATTTAACAACTCTTTCATTCAGTGTGTAAATAAAACCACATTCATGATATTGACTTCACAACATATGGTTTCTAGAATTTCTATTTAGCTTTACACAGGAATTCTAAAATATTATATTGTGTTTTTTTTTTTTTGCTGCTTACAATAGAATTTTTCTCATCTTTACATTCGTCAACTTTAAATAAGTTGTTAGGAAACCGAACGTTCGGCATGTTGCTCGACTGATATGCTGAAATCTACGCCAGCTTCTATTGCTAATACATGTGACCATTGTTTTTCTTCACTTCTTCTTTTCTGTCTTTGTTCACTCTGTTTTTTCATTTGTTCATGCTACACTTTTAAGTAGAAGACTTCTCTTTCAGATCAGTTTTCATCATGATGTTTATGTTACCACCAGGGACACGCCCAGACATTTCAAATGAATCTTCTTTGTGGCCCCAGAGTTGATTCTTAAGAACCATCAATGAACGTTTTGATCTTCTGTACACTTTTTAAAACTTTTTAAAACTGGGAAATGTCCGGGGTCATTGTCGTCTCATCATTTTTAACCGGTTTAAAGAAGCGCCTTCAGCCACTGGACGTTATTGGATGAGGGTCGTTCACATCCAAACAAAACTAGTGTCAGAGTTGTGAATATCAGTCAATCATTCATACAGAAACTTTTATTAGTTTACAAACTAAGTCAATGCATGAAAATCACTTTGCCCTCAGACTCTTGCTGATGTTGATCTTGACTCTCGCAGAATAGAAGAACAAAATAATGATTAGGAATAAAGACTTTTTAAATAAACATGTTATTCAGAACCATCGAAGCTGTTTTTCTTCCTGCCCTGCAGACACGTCTTCGACACGCAGGTTAACAGCAGATCTGCAGCACATCCTCTCCTGTCACATGATTTGAAATGATGTTGCACCAAAACCACAAAACAACCAGACTTGGAAAAAAAAAAACGTTTTGTGAGAGCAATAGAATTATGGACCAAAATTCAACGAGTGTTGAGATGACGCTGACGCTTCAACCCCTGGTAACGTCTGATACATGTTAATAACAAGGGCAGCTCTGATGTAATACTGTCATGAGTGTGATGAACTGTACTCATGTTTATACTCCTGTAATATGACTAGAGCAAAATATATATATATTGAATTTTGTTAGAAACTTCCTGTAAATGTTTCAGGACCCCTCCATTCAACAGCTCTTATTTAAACGTTCATAATCCAGCGTCTCTGTGTGATTCAGAAAATATAACACCAGTCAGTCAGTTACTTACTTTTCTTCTCACCATTGTGATAGTACTACGTCCTGCAGTACAGTACAGCCATAGTAATGCATCAGACAGTGTAGTATTCCACTTGTACTCATACTTACACTGCCTATGTACTAAATTCACTTCAAACCTGTCACTTCAAATATCTCAGTCCCTAAAAAAAAACATGTTCTCCATGAAATGTACACGTTCTTTCAGTTTTTTGTCACTTAAATTCATAAACAGTTTGAGGTGATATAATATTCCTGCAGTGACAGGCAGAGGCTGGTCCCTCTCCTCTACATTAGAGCAATACTGACATCTTGTGGCTGGATGACTGTTTCTGTTTCATAACAAGGTATTTTTTATTTTCCGTGTGCAACAATAGAAATATTTTATTTTGACAGCAGAATGAATGAACAAAGCAAAATAAAACATTCACTCAGGGTCAGGGGTCGTAAAAGTCCATCACTATGAGCCTGTGTATTTCCAACAATGTAGTACTGTTTGTGTTAAAAAAAACTTTCTAGTACCTGAAGCAAGTACCTGATAATAAATAAATACATTTACTAATATAAACAACTCATTTGACCAATTCTCCATTTGTCTCTCTGTCCTAGCGAGTGCATGACTTCAGAGTTTCAAAAATAATTTATACTGTGAATCAAACATTCTTGATTAAAAACACTGTTGGATATTAAAGAATAAAACTACATGTTAAATAACTTTTCTAAGTTTGAGTCGAGCTGCAGTGTCAGACCTGCTCCAGGTGTGGCAGCAGCCCCGGTGCCAGTTGTTTCTGTAGCACCATGAGCAGATCCTCCAATTGGCCAATGGGATTTTATAACAGACGTGCCGTGATGGGATCCCTCGCGCTCATTGGATGGCCTGGTTGTGATGTAACAGGGAGCTCGTCGCTGATTGGTTGCCCGGTCACCTTTAGCTTGGTCCACATCTCTCTGCTCTTGTTCCGGATTCGAGCAGCAGACACAAGGTAGAGTCCTCTCTCACTCTGTCTGTGATATAACTATAGATATAACTTTATATTAACGCTGGGTATTCTGTTAGAGAACACTCCATTGGCTTTCTGCTTATTAAACATAGTTTTACAGTATTTTCGTGCAGCTGTCATATATAACATGCAGTTATATAAGGAATGTTGATATATGGTCTAAAGGTTTGTACTCGATGTCTAGAATAAAGAAATTATTTTAAATATTAAATGTTCTGAATCATGCCCCATGTGTAATGTCATAAACGAATCCACAATATCGAATGTGTATGTTCGTGTATATGTGCCTAACTTATTCTAACGCTCTGTCTTGATCAGTGTCTTAACTTACTGACTTATTTTGCTTAATTTCTATCTGTATTTTTGACAGAAATGTGTTTACACAAAGTTCATTTCCATACATAGGACTGGTTAAATAGTTTTTATTTTATTTGTATTATTGAAATGTATTAACTTCATGACTCATTCCCCAAGTCCAGGGATCAAGTCCAGAGGTGCACACACTCAGGAAATTGCTAATTATAAATATTATTTTAAACCTATAATATCCAAACTTACACTAACTGTCTCCTACTGACAGTTTCTGGTGTTTAACATAACTAGTTGAATGAAGAAAGTTCAATATTTGCACTCAAACGAATGCGAATACTTTGTGTGCACCTCCTCGAAGTAGTTTTGTCAGTATTCTTATGTTCACGACACATGCTTTGAATTATTTGCTAAAATAAAAAGAGTTTATTGTTAATAAAGTTCAATTCAACTTTTAGGTGATTTAAGCATAAATTGATTTGCGGCATAAAAAGCAGCTGCTTGACGCAACATTTATACTGTCAAGCTTATGTAACAGCTGTATGAATAGTCAAAGCATTACAACACAGTATAATGTGGCTGAAATTTTATTTAATGATATAAAATCAAATATTTGTTGATAGAAGAGGGTTAGAAACTGTTTGTAAAAGCATTCGAGATTAATTAATACATGTCAAGCTTCATTCCTGACCTCAGAGGTTTTAAAGAAGATAAAAGTGAAGCTCTTGGTCATCTTATCTCATTTCCTCTGCAGCTTTCTGACTGCGCTGATAAATGTAAAATAAGTTTTCAAGATTACCTGTGATATCAGGCAAACCATTAGTTAATTGTTAATAAAGGCCAAAATAAAGAGAAGGTGCCTCTGCCTGTGTTTTATCCTCTTCAGATTCAACCATGGATCTTGTGCTGAATGTTGCCGACTATTACGTCCTCACCCCGTACGTGTACCCCGCGTCGTGGCCTGAGGATGGCGCCCTGCGGCAGATCATGAGCCTGCTGGTGCTGACGAACCTCGGAGCTGCAGTCCTGTACCTGGGCCTCGGAGCGATCAGCTACTTCTTCATCTTCGACCACACTCTGATGAAGCACCCACACTTCTTAGAGGTATGAAGCCTCGTGAAGCGAGAAATCTGAATGTCAGCAATGACACACACTCATTTATATCAGTCTTCTAAATGTGCCTGATTTGTTTTTCACAAAGATCCATTAATTATTCTTAGTGAAAAACTTCCTATTATTATTTCTTGTCCCATTCGTCTGAATGGACAGGGGTGAAAACTTAACTCTCACGGAGATAATTAAAATAAAGCAAAGTCCAGAAAACCATCAGGATAAATCTCAGATTATCACGTGGGGGTTTAGTTTGATATCATTTCAAACATGTTGAAAATGTTTCCTTTCACAGAATCAGGTCAGGAGGGAGATTAAATATGCGATGACCTCTCTTCCCGTGATCAGTCTTCCCACTGTCGCTTTGTTTTTCGCCGAAGTCCGAGGATACAGCAAACTGTACGATAACGTTGATGAATCTCCGCTGGGTATGTTCAGTGAGCCTTCACAGGTTTACAGATGTTCTGCAGTCGTCATGTTTCCAGTGTGTTCGTCTTCAGGCTCCAGATTCTTGGTTGTGAGCAGGTCTGTGTGTTTTCAGGTTGGCCCGGACTCGTCCTCAGTATGATCTCCTTCCTGTTCTTCACTGACATGTGCATCTACTGGATTCATCGCTTCCTTCATCACAAGCTCATTTATAAGGTTGTTGTGGTTTTTGTGTTTTAACATATCAGGTACAGCGTTCCAGTTAAATTAAGGGCTGTTTAATGACTTTTGATTTCAACACAACTTTGATCACTGTCGTAAATTGAATACTGAATATTGAAAAATACTGAAATAAGATAATCTCAGCTAATAATTTGATTTATCTGTTGGCCGATAAAAATCAACACGAGCATTTCCCAGACACATCAGCGTTTATGCTCGCTGATATGAAAACCTAAATTCCATTTCTTTCTAGATAAATTCTCTCCTTTCTTTTCCCCACAGCTGTTTCACAAGCCTCACCACGTATGGAAGATCCCCTCTCCCTTTGCCAGCCACGCTTTTCACCCAGTGGACGGCTTCATGCAGGGTCTCCCCTACCACATCTACCCTTTCCTCTTCCCCCTCCACAAGGTGCTCTACCTGGCCCTCTACGTCTTCGTCAACATCTGGACCATCTCCATCCACGACGGCGACTACCGCGTCCCCCGCGGCCTGACAGAGGTCATCAACGGCTCGGCTCACCACACCGACCACCACCTCTTCTTCGACTACAACTACGGCCAGTACTTCACGCTGTGGGATCGCCTGGGAGGCTCCTACAGGCACCCGTCGGCGCTGATGGGGAAGGGTCCCCACGATCTGATACGCAAACTACAAGCAGAGGGGAAGCTGGGAGACGACAGAGTGAAGGTGAACGGACACAATCAGAGAAGAGTCACACTGAAGGAGGAGTAACGGGGGAATTTAAAATACGTGGCTGAAATGAATCACTATTTTTGTAAAGACAATGTGCTGCATCCAAACTCAGCTGGAAAACACATCGGGGGATAATTGGAGTGAGTGAACTTGCCAAACATGAAATGTGAAATTTGGAATCTGGTGGAAAAAGGTGCCTGTAAAATGGCCGAACCCCTGGAGGGACATCCTCAGAGGTGAGCTATAGGACGCCACATTTCTCTCACCGTCATCAGTCATGTCAGCGGCTGCAACTGAAGGGTTTGACTTTTTATACAAGAGTTAGACACTGAACGTTTTTGGAAGAAGAAGAAACAACAGGAGAGAAGTTTTATTACAAGTTAAAGTTCCGAGCTACAGGAGCTGCTACACACTAACAGAGTTTGACTCATGATTAAAGATCGACTTTGACTTAAAGTTTGATTTAACAAGTTGAACTCAATCGACTGCAATAAAGGAAAACTTTTACTTTCAATAAGTCCCATCACTGTGGCTTTATACTACTTAACAATTCCTGATTAAAATGTGTAAAAGCAACAGAGGTTTGTGATTTGTTTTGTTGACTTGTGTTCAAACATCATCCAAAATGTTTCCAACAATGTTCAAACCCAGAGAAATCTGCAAGTTTATTCAACTTAACAGTTTCATTCTGGTCGCCTCTCCGAGTTCTGACTTCCAAACGTTCCATTGCAGGGTGCGTATGTGGCACGCCGTTAAACGTAAACAATGGTGGAGAAGACAAGTCCCATGATCCCACGCTGCTTCACAACATTATCCAACTAACTCTGTTTTTATTGTTTTGATTCGGCCAAATTACAAAATGCACATTTAACCCGGAGATTTGCTTCCTGCATTATCAGTTTTTCGCTAACCTGCTTAAGATTTATTTGCAATGTAAAAACCGACTAAGACCTAGTTTAAAAAAATATCTGAATTTTTTTCTTAAAGCGTATCCTCTGTTTGTACTTTTAGCAGTTGCACTTGGTCATTTAAAGGTTCAGTGTGTAAGATTTAGATGAAAATGATCTATTGGCTGAAATTGAATGTAAAATAATCCTTGTGATGTTTTCACTCGTGTGTTTCATCTAAATTGTGTGGATTGTTTTTTCTTTACCCTAGAATCGGGCCTTTATATTTAAATACTTTATATTTACATCAAGGGGGTCCTCTCTACGGAGGCCGCCATGTTTTTTACAGTAGTTAAAACTGGACAAACTAAACACCTTTTTGAGTTTTTATGACAACTGAAGGTTACCACAAGTTATTTTTGTTTGGAAGGGGAGGGTGAGGTGAAGCGTATTCAGCTGCAACATGCAAATTCACCACTAGATGCCACTAAATTCTACACACTGTACCTTTAACTTCTGATTCTCTTGCATTAAATGTTAGGAAACAACTCCGGTTTAATTCTGTCACATATGAAAATGTAAATGATAAAATAAGCTGTATGTACAAGCAGAAAAACATCGTCTTCAGCATAAGTGTCACAATCAAGTTTTGCACATCAGAAATAACATGTAATAACCATTTGTTTCAGCAGATATGGTTTGAAAACAATGTACAAAAGACTAAGAAAAAGAAAAAGACACAGAGGTCAGGTGAAGTCTGTGGGCTGAGTCAGTTCTCGTCACATCAGTATGCGAGATCATCTCAGCAGAGAAATAGGGGCATCCAGAGGAAGGATCTCATGGCTGCTCCTGCTGCCATTCCTGCCAGTATTCCCAGAGCGAGATTTTCCACCACTCCATCAAATGGGTCCCTCTGAACGACCACCTGATGGGTGCCTGAGAGAAGATGGAGAGAATTAAGGTACAAGTATAATCAGACAGTGGGAATACTGAAAATCTTAGGCTATATCTACATGTTACCTGTAATGTGTGAAGCAATATTTAACCCTTTTATTTTAATGAATCAGTATTTTTACATGTATTACCATTATTACTGTTTATATGTAGGTCTTGGTGTAGGTATAGAATTGAATAGGCCCCCCAAAAGTTGTTCGTAGTGGAATCACTGCCAGACGAAGCCGTGGACGACTCTAACTAATGTTGAACGTGTCGAGTTGCTTCACATAAACGTACCTGGTCCTGCTCCCGGTGTGATGTAGACGGTGTGGTAGCCGTTGATGGGGACAGCCTGGTAGGAGTCGTCATAGGGGTCATATGTGAAAACCTACAGCACGAGAAGAAAGAGAACAACCACCGATCATGTCTCAGCCCTCACAGAGAAGTCTCCGATAAACTTTCAGGATTTATTCATTACTGTCAGTGACAACTTTGGACTCCCCCAACTGTTATATATATGTCAAACCACTATATAAAGTTTACTAAATGTTGACTTAAATGAGTCCAGTAGGTGCAGGTTTAGCAAACTTGGAGCTATATATAAAGATAGACGATATGCCAGCTCCCAAAAGCAGAATCATCTTGATCACCCCTGATGGCTGGCTGCAATATAGGCCATAAGCCCCGCCTCCTCAGAGTTTGACTCCAAAAAGTTAATTTTACTCAAAGATGGTTTCTGTCATTATATTTGGTTGTTAACACACTGATGTTTGTCCAAGTGTTCATGTATCTGATAAGTTTGGTTTTAATCAGGGTTGACAATTGAGATTCACACGTAATTGGTCAAGCACTTGTATCAGTGGGGTGGGACCTCAATTCGTGGCTCAACCCTTCGATCACTTCATCACTCCAAACAATGTCTAAAGAGCAAGATGGCAGCAGCCTTTCAGTCGCCCAAGCTTTTCTTTGGTTGACCACAGCCGTAGATCATGAATCACTCACCGGGTTTCTCCTGGTCTCAAGCAGAGTCAGTTTCCATGCTCTGAAACGGAAACGAAAATGGATGAAGAAATATTAGTGGACGTAAAGAGAGACAGCCGACCAGAGTGAAGTGAAATCACCTACATAGACTCATCCTCGCTGTTCGCACACAGGTTGATTGTTGATCCGTCTCTGAGCTGAACCACGATGAGATTGTCTCTGGGATTGCTCTCTGGTGGAGTCACACCTACATACAGACGAGGTAAAGCAGTTATTCCCCCACAAATTAACATATCGTCATCACCTTTACAATGTTGTGTCCTTGATCTAATCAATTGACTGTATTTGGCCTCACTGCCTTTCTTTTGTTGTTGTGGAACTATAACTTACGTCCTATCCAATGGTTCAGTCTGTTAAATGTGTATTTTAGCAGTGTACTTTCACCTCAACAACAAAAAGTGAGAAATTGAGATCATGCAGGACTTTATTGGTAGTTACCTCCACCAATGAGGTTAAATTTTCACCCCTGTCCATTCGTTTGTTTGTTTGTTGGCCGATTAGTTTTTTTGTGAACAGGGTTATGCCAAAACTTCCATAAAACTCGGTAGAAGGATGCGATATGCTTCAGAAAAGAACCCATTAACCCATTTGCTAATGATCCAGGCAAATGGGTGGCTCAAGGAGTTTTTTATCACTTTCTTTAACATTGTGAAATGGGGCATTTTCACCATTTCCTCTGGAATAATCCACGGATCTTTATGATAATTACCAGATATAAGGTCATTGATGTCTATGAGTCTGTATATTTGCTGCAGTTTGATTGAATTTAAGGGGCCTGTTGGGCCTTGGTGGAAGTATGTGCTCTACTGAGTTCTGGTTAGTATAAGGTAACGGTTTATCGTCATTTTTTTTAACTGTTGAATTGTGGGTTAGGGTCAGGGTTAAACTGTCATCCTGGCATTTTGTCCCATGATGATGACGACTTCATGTAAAATGGCTTGATTATTCCTGTGCTCTACCTCCACACTCCAGGCCAGACCGCACATCCACACATGTGATCTTCAGGCTGACACGGTGCTCCAGCTCACGGCGGCTGTCGGTCTTGTAGAAGCAGAGGCTCCCGTCAATCCAAAGGTCACACCAGTTTAACTTCCAGCGTTTTAGGACCGAGGCTGTAGAGACACAATGTTACATGATACTGTCTTTGAGTTTTTGTCCTGTGAAGTAAGATTAGTAAATATCTAGAACATGTTGAGTCAAACTTAATAGAAATGCATGTGTGTGTGTGTGTGTGGTCTCCTTCAGCACATACAAATTGTCATTGTTGCCTAACCTCGTTAAGCCACTTGAAGACATGACCAAGGATAATTAATGGGATTAAAAATGTTTCGTAACAGTTACACTTTTCAGCTTCGAGAAAATGCTCCAGTGTTTCTGTTTGAAATTCAAACAAGAATTCACGCTGAATGATGAACTTGACATAAATAATTTTAGTTTATTGAGTAAAGCATGTGGGGGAAATCCTGCTGCAGAGGCAATAGTTGTACATATTGACGGTAAACAATAAATATCATCTGTGTGTCACTGTCTGTGAATCCCAACATTCCTGTTATCTGTCTTTTCTAGAGCTTTTGTTGAACATCAGTCCTCATCTCTTACTCTCCTCTTCCTCATTTCCTCCTCTTCCTCTGTTCACTTTGTATTAAAACAAAAGTCACTGAAGAATGTCTAAACAAATGTCTTTAGCAAGTTACCAGAGCCCTGCCGATTGTATAGTTCTTCTAAAAAAACAGCTACAAAATGAAAATTAACAATAAAACTAAATAATTAATTACTTATAATAAGATTGTTCCTTTTAATAATTAAAATAAACATAAATCAAAGTTTGTGTTCCTTTTCAAACTTGATATCCCCTGATAGCTGTTGAAATTAATGATTTATAAAAAAACAACACTCACTTTGTCTCCAGAGCCAGCCTGACCTCATCAGCACCATTCTTATCTGTTCTTCCAGTTTTCAACGATGACGATGATGATGATAACCCAGAACAGGCACAACAGGGAATTTAGATTTTATTGTTTGTAAAATTTAAATGATCCAGTATCTGTTTTCAGCCTCCTGTGGCTTGGTTTATATTCCCTGCGTCCCTCAGACAGCGGAGTAGTGGTAGATTAGTCTGGTTGACTCACAGGATCATTCTGGATTAGGGCAGTGTTTGGCCACGCCTTTTATTTCCGTCTCATCTTCGTTGTTCTTTCTGGACTCTTCCTGACTCCTAACACCATCAGCCACATAGATCACATAGATCCTTGAATTTATATGCTTATAAATCAAATTCATGTCAGCACAGTCCCCTTCATTCATGTGCACTCCTCTCTAACTTTGCTTTTACTGGTTAATCTCATTACTGATATAACAACAAGGATTAGTTTGAGTCTCAGGTCAGTTACGAGTCTTCTCCGACTTCCTGCATGTGAAACGCTGATGACACTATTTCCTTTTGCAGCTTTCACCGAAAAAATTGGTTTCTCCTCTGTACCAGTCACTTATTATTATTATATTATTATGTGAATGCTTTCATTGAGAACCGGGTTTTCCTTACATTTGTGGTCATGCATCAAACAAAAAAAATTTAAGAGACAAAGTTTTGTAATCTATCTTTTATTTTATTTTAACTTTTCTATCCCACATCTATGAGTTTACCCCATTACTCCAGTGGTTTAGATTAATATTGGAGCCATGGATGGTGATTTAGCTGCTCCAGGGGGAGACGCTGCTTTGGGACTTGGGACACATTCGCAACAACTCCTGACAACCTGGACAGAAAGCTTTAAAGAACAAAGTTTAAAATGACACAAACTGCCATCCATAAGAAAGTTTGAGGTTGTTATGGAGAGTTTTTGGGTTAAAACAGAGACCTGGCAAAAAGTTGTATTAATGTCATGTCTTTTTTCCTTTTATTGAATGTTTTTATGACTCATCCAATAATAAATCAGTTGTAGCTTCCTCTTCATGTTCAGATATGTTCCCCAAAAACAATGCCAGGAGCTCACGACTCAGCTCAATGTCCAGTTTTCTTAAAATAGTTGAAAATCGAATGGTATCTGGTTAATCTTAAACTCTTCATAACTCTGATAAATGTCACCATCATTTTAATTCAATTCAATTTTTATTTGTATAGCACCACATCATACTACACATTATCTCAAGGAACTTTCCATAGAAAGTCAAGACCTTAAAATTTATAGAGAAACCAACAGTTCCCACAATGAGCAGCACTTTGGCGACTATGGAGAGAAAAAAACTCTCTCATTAACAGGGAGAAACCTCTAGAACCAGACTCAATGTCTGTATTGTATTGTTCAATTCAAATTCAGATCAATCAAATCACTTCAAAAAGTTTGTGCTTTGATGTTTCAGTCCAGGTGAAAAACAGTACTTTGATGGCACATTAGAGTTCTGGATTCCAGTTTAAAGCCAACTGACCACATCTAAAGGAGAAACATTTCTCAGCAGAATCAGTCTACAAATGTCCCCATTGCTAATCTTATTCTTATCAGAACCATGAGTAGACAACATCTGCATAAGAATCTTGTCTCTGACAAATCCCTTAAACTGCGACAATTGAACGTTAGTAGACCAGTACTTCATGGCAAAAATACTTCATAAGAACTTTGTTACACATCCAACATGAAGAGGATCAACCACTCAAAAGATAAAGTAAGTGTCTTTTGAAGCAGGAGAGACTTGAGGTTAAACTGCATTTAGTTTTTTACCTCTTCAAATCACAATTGTCTTTTTTTTTCTTCATCTTACTTTACTGTAGTTTTACGGACTATAAAAGCAGATGTGTGTAAATGACTAAAATTCATTCTGCTCTGTCTCTTTTAATACACCTGAAGTTAGGATGTGACTGTGTTTTTACCTGTTATATGTATACTTGTGTCTTTCAGTCACTTGGACAAATGCAGGCTGATGATGCCACCCAACATAAAGGGTGCATGGCCACCAAAATGCTGCAGGTGAACGGACAGGCTGCTGTGCAGGCTGCAATGAGCGAGCAGCTGGCTGCTGCGCAGGCCGCAATGAACGTGCAGCTGGCTGCTGCGCAGGCTGCATTGCATGAGCAGCTGGCTGCTGCGCAGGCTGCAATGAACGAGCAGCTGGCTGCTGCGCAGGCTGCACTGTACGTGCATGCGACAGGTAACAATGCAATGAAAGAGCAGCTGGCTGCTGCTCAGGCTGCACTGAACGGGCAGGCAACAGAAAACACTTCACTGACGAAGCTGGCTGCTGAAAACACAGCTCTGGCGAAAGAAAACGCTAATCTGAAGAGGCAGCTGACCAGACAGGAAGAGCTGGATAATGATCTCGAAGATCTGAAGATGACGATCAGAGTGAAGGAGGAGAAGCTGTGGTACAGCATCCAGGATCAGGAGAATCTGATAGAACAGATCAGGGAGAAAGAGGAGAATTTGTCTGTCCAGCAGGAGGAAATAGAATCCCTGATAGTGCAGAACATTAAGCTTCAGGTACATTACATCAGATCATTGTAGATTTGAATCTCATTTATTGTAGGTTTGTTTCATGTTCAGACTTCGAAGAAAAAAATGCTGTCACTGATGTTGTCTCTGTCTTTTCAGGAACTCTTCTTTGAGAGCAATTCATACAAGCTGAAGGTCAAATATGAGCAGAAGGAGAAGAAAGAGAAGAAGAAGCAGGAAAAGAAAGAGCAACTGGAGAGAGAGAAGAGGGAGAAGAAGGAGAGAGAAGAACTGAAAAAGAAGGAGAAGGAGGAGAAGAAAGAGAAGAAGAAGCAGGAAAAGAAAGAACAACTGGAGAGAGAGAAGAATGAGAAGAAGGAGAGAGAAGAGCTGAAGAACAAGGAGAAGAAGGAGAAGAAAGACAAGAAGAAGCAGGAAAAGAAAGAACAACTGGAGAGAGAGGAACTGAAGAAAAAGGAGAAGAAGGAGAAGAAAGAGGAGAAGAAGCAGGAACAGAAAGAGCAACTGGAGAGAGAGAAGAAGGAGAGAGAAGAACTGAAGAAGAAAGAAGTGGAGAAGAAAGAGAAGAAACAGGAAAAGAAAGAGCAACTGGAGAGAGAGAAGAAGGGGAGTTTTTTAATTATTTTATTTTATTTTTTATTTTGCAGCATCTACACTGCTTGAAAAAACGTAATAACTTACATTTATAAAGTTTGGGTTTTTTTTGTTTTTTTTTCTCACAGAGAAATTATAAATGTATTATATCTGAAAAAAAAACAGCTGTTGGTTTATGACGGAGCAGAGAACCTCTCTGTGTGCCCACATCAGCCTGGAACTCTCTAGGTCATGAGTCGCTCTGTAAAAACTAAAATCAATTAAAAGTCTGGCTTTTACCATTTTTACAGCACATCAACGTTCAGTTCTTCTATATTTCTTTTACAGCTCACATACACCGCCATCTTTGACTGAGCTAAAACCAAGATTAAGAGCTGACACTCTGGCAAGTGTAATTAAAACCACAGATGAAAAGCTTCTTGTTGAAAAACTCCTCGCATCCGTTAAAAATGGTGTCCAGTGAAACCGGAGAGACGAGAACACTCTAAAAAACAGTGAAACACAGTTTCTCTCTGGCTGCAGAACGGACATTTGTCCTCTACAGCAAATGACCGAGATAAAAGAGTTCACTGCTACGATTCTGTGTAGGATTCTCCACTGCAGGTCTCCGTGTCTCTTTATTACAGGAGGTTTGTACAAAGATCTCCATGATGGTTTAGAACCAGAATCTAGTTTGAAGTAGGCCCTCCATGGAGTGTCACTGCGTCCGTTCAGTGTCTTCTAGTTAAACGTCTTCACCATCAGTCCATAGAGGGTTTTTCCTGATGCGTCTTCCAGAGGAACACCTACAGGAGCTCCTCCATGAAGACCTCCAACACGTCTTCTCCCATTTCAGGCTAGAAAGCTTTGAAAAACTCTGGTTGGAATCCGTCAATTCCAGTGGCCTTCCCCCCCTGCATGCTCTGCAGAGCCATGTAGACCTCCTCTGCGCTCAGAGGACCCTCTATATCCTTGTTGGCCTCCTCCGAGACTCTGGGTAATCCATTACAGAAGGATTTGAAGACCCCCTCCTCCTCAGTGTACTCGCTGTTAAATAGGTGGGAGTAGAATTCCACAGCTCTCTGTCGGATCTCACTGGCTTCAGTCAGCAGTTATCCTCTATTGGATCGCAAAGCGTGGATGAATCCGCTCTGCCTGTTTTTCTCCTCCAGGCTGAAAAAGTACTTTTGTAGTGCCCTACGGATTTTAGTTCATACTGTATACTGTTCATACTTTTGATATCTGTAATGTAGGTTTATCCTTATGCTGATTTTGTGGTTTAATTTCTGCATTAATTTGGGAAATTGTGTATTTTGTATTGTGTTCAAATAACCCACATTTAGAACAGACCTTGAACTTCTCAAGTCCGTTTTCTGTTTGTTTAATTGGATGGACAGGTGTCCATCAATTAAGTTAGGGTAGGATTTCGACCTGTCCGATTCTGTCGAGGGCGGGACTTAGTTCAGACAAGACGAGACGGAGCGAGAAGAAGCACGAGGACAGAGAGAGAGAGGATGCTAGCTGCTCCAGGTTCCTGTTATTCTTTGTAAATACAGTATTAGTAAGAATTAAGACCCAGCGACTCTGTGTAACCTCAACCAGCCGGAGTGTGAGGAGACGTGTTGGGAGACGTTTGACTGAGTGTAATTAGCTAAACTGTTAGCAAGTGGAACCGAGTTAGCTGACTGCCTGCGTCAGGCTGCACGTGGGAAGCCTGGGTTTGATTCCGAGTGTCTGAGTGAGTATTGAGGTTGTTGACGCTAAAGTTACGCACATTTCTGGTTTTTCTAACAGTGTATTCATTTGAGGTTTCGACTTTTAATGTTAGTGTGCCTCGGACTCTGCCACTCGTGCTGCTGCAGTACAGGTGCTCGGGACCTGCCGCCAGGGACTTCGTGCACGTGGACAGAGCGTGTCTTCCTTCTTCTCGCCGCGGGATCTGGGGCTCGAGTGGACGGTTGCTACCAGGGGACCGTGAGTACGAACAATCCTCCAGCGGAGGGTTACATATGAGCTCCATCAGCCTGCCAGCGAACACGGACTGAGTTAGTTCTTTTTCTTAATGGTTTATTTTATTTGTTTGGGGGTTTCTTGTGGAAACACCATGTCAGTTTGTTTCTGTAGCATTAGCTGGAGCAGCAGAGACCTCTTCCAAGCATCTCTGGCTCCATTTACATCCAGTGAGCTGATGTTTAAAGTACCCATGGTTACTAAGAATTAAATCAACATCATCGCTGAGCTGTCTTTAGGCTGTAAGACTTTATTCATTGTCATCATCATCATTATCGTTTATCTCTTGTCTAATTTTCTTTAGCCTGTATATTTCTTGGTCTGTGAAACCTCCTCTGCTGCTCATGTGCAGCCGGACAGACTTAGAGAAATGTTCTTTACAGAGAAATACTCTGTAAAATATTCTATTTTGAGCCCCTTCATGTTTTTAGTTTTCTGGAGTAACATATTTTTGGCCGCTGGGTGTAATTTGGGGGCGCTGTTGCCCCGTATCGGAACCGGAAACCTTGCTCCTTAACTTTTCTCATTCAGTCTCTATGGTAGTTTCTTAACAGTACGGATGTAATATATTTTTGACCACTTGTTTACCAATCGTACCAATCAATTGTAAGTCAAGCTATTGTCTTCAAGTTGTCATTTCATGTTTCTCAGTGGTATTAGCCTTTTGTAAACTTTTTTTTAAGTTGTATTCTGAGTTGTTGTAGTAGAAGAAGTAGTTTCTTTCTTTTGTTTGCTAAGGTGGCTTAGAACAGTGGTGTTACATACTGTATTGTTAGGCACACAAAAGGTTGGAACCACTGGTTTAATCAAGCAAACACTGAATTTATCACGTATATAAATATTTCTTGATTTACATTTTTAACTTAAAACCTTACTGATAGTATTTAAAGTGTGATTCAGCTCTAACATCTGCATGTTATGTACTCAATACACCTCATGCTCACAGATCTGCATGTTAGCATCTAAATACTTTATTGTGAAATCACTACTACTACTACGACAGTACTTTGGTGCAGCCCTGGGGTCTAGCGCCATCTGGTGGTCTCTTTCAGTTACTCTCATTGACAATTAGAAAGCCTCACATCTGTTTCTCACCTTCAGATTTTCTCAGATGATTTTTGATGATGAAAACTTTTTCTGAGTGTTTGAGGACGAATCGCTAACGACTGATGGAATAATTCTGTGTGTGTGTAGTTCACACTCTCACCTTGATGCAGTGAATGTTCACATCAGAAGAGCAGTAGTAAAAGTTGTATTTTTTATTTAGTTTTGTTGTTATTCTCTATTCTATCGTGCTTTAGTTCTTTTACGTGTTCCCTCGTCTACGTTATATTAAATTTAAAGGTACAGTGTGTAGAGTTTTGTGCTATCTAGTGTCAAAGCTTCATGTTGCAGCTGAACACACTGGACCCTCCTATTGTTGAGACGTGCAGGACAATGTGGATCAGTGCAGGACAGTGCGGGACAATGTGAGACATGGTTAACGTTTTCTGGTAAAAACTAAAAACTCTTTGACTCGTTGCTGAGGGACGCTAACGTTAGCTTAGCTTAGCACTCGCCACAAACTGAGCCGGACCCTGCGCTGGTTGATGACGTCATCCGAAAAATTAAAACAAACATGAAGAGAATCTCAGTAGGTTTGATTCGTTTGAATGATAAAATACAATTCATGTGTATATTACCACAGAGACAGAATCATAGGAGCTTTAGATAAAGATCATTTGACCACAGTCAGTACAACGTTTGACACAAAAAGGATAAAGTTGTTTCCGCCCGGTCTCGAACCGGGGACCTTTCGCGTGTTAGGCGAACGTGATAACCACTACACTACGGAAACTGTGGAAAGCTCTAGCGGGAGACGGTAAATTTAACCTATCACCTTCTCTATGAACAGACATGGGTGCATGATCGCAGTGACTAGTCATTTTCAGTCTCCCCGTTTGCTGGGAGCGCTTTTGCGTGTGGCTGCAGCGGGGGCAGGGCGTGTGTGGCTGCAGGGGGGAAGGGGTGAGTGTGTGCGTGTTGCTGCGGGGGGGGGAGTGTGTGTTGCTGCAGGGGGAGGTGTCTGTGTGAGAGGCTGCAGGGGGTGACGGCTAATAAAGCTCTGGAGAAGAAGCTCCTCCTGTTGTTGGTAGTCCTTACGTGTTTGCTTGCGGTACAAACAGTCTGTGGCCCGGGTGGCTGGGGTCCAGCTCTGGAAGGGGGCAGCCCACAATGCCCTGTGCCGTTCTCACCACCCGGGCCAAGTGCTTCCTGTATGGTGCCGTGCAGCTGCCATACAAAACTTTCGCGCTGTGGCAGAGGACGCTTTCGATCGTGACCCGGTAAAAGTTAGCGAGCGGGCGCTCATGGACCAGGAGGGATCGGATGTGATGTGGAGGCTCAGAAACTTGATGTTGTCCACACGCTCCACCGCTTCTCCGTCTATGAGGATTGGGGGGGGGGTGTAAATTATATTGTATTATACTATATTACATCATCACAGCGCACCTTCATGTTGTTGTCTTCAACATAAATAAATTCAGCAGAGTCTAAAAAAGGATAAAGTTGTTTCCGCCCGGTTTCGAACCGGGGACCTTTCGCGTGTGAGGCGAACGTGATAACCACTACACTACGGAAACTGTGAAGCGTGTGGTTGGAGAAGTGGGTTAGAAAGTTCAGCGTTCGTGTTATGGCGTCAATGTGGAGGATGTGACGGAGATCATCTGGAACTGTTTATTGTTAACTATTTTCTGAGGTGTGTGGTCACAGAGTGGTCATGACGGTGATTCCCACGTTTGAGGAACACCTCAGAGGGAAATTCTTATTCTCATTTTCACTGTTTCCTGCGTCAGAGGTCGGACGATACAAGTATACGTATTATTTTGATTCACGGAGAAATACTGCACTGCTTAAAATGATTCATAGAGTGAAACACTGACTGCAGGTGGAGGAAAAACTTCAATGTGTAAGGTCACAAACTACTTTGTCTAAAAATACACGTAAAGAGGAAGTAACACACACACACACACACACACACACACACAGAGTATATAAGGCGGTCGTCTTCAGATTCTCACTTGGACGAAGACACATCCTTGTGAATGTCATCATGGAGAAGATCTACATCAGACATGTGGAGCTGCTGGGCTTCGAGAAACGAGACTTCCCGACTGTGCACTACGTAAGTTTCAAACCGCTTCCTTTTCAAACTGATCGATGAGCTGCAGATATTCTGAAAACCTACAAAAACCACAAGAGACAGGGCTGCACCGTATGTCCAAAACAGTTTCCATCAGTGGACAATGACTTGTATCACATTATTATTTGAAATTTGATGATGAACTGTGTTATAAACTATATATATATATATATATGTCTAATATAATCTGAGATATGTAATATTAGCAACCGACAGTTGGATTGAGTTGACTTTGGATCGTTGTTGTTTTGTGCAGGTTTACATGCTGATGGTGAAGTGGAGCGACCTCTCAGAGAAGCTGATCTACAGGACGTATCCTGAGATCCACACCTTACACGTGTGTTCCTGCGCACCTCAGAATAAAAACTCTTGATTATTCATAATCCTGCAAATGAACTAATCCAGAGGCCTGAAATAAGACTGGAATAAAAAAATGTTTGAGTCTGTTCTTAGCTGTTTTGTTTATGTGCCACAGAAATCCCTGAAGGAAATGTTTCCCATCGAGGCTGGTCAAATAGAAAAGAGGGACAGGATCATTCCTTCGTTACCAGGTAAACTCTTTTTAACTCTTTATTTGACGATGTTACATTCGCACATCTGGTTTCTCCATGGTGGTTTTGTATGTTGCCTCTGTGCTGACTTTCACAGCTGAACAACACAGCAGCATCAAATCCTCCTCATTCTTCAGGTGAGAGGTGGAGCAGCCAGAGACAGGAAGTGATCATGTTTACATCACCTGACACCGTCGTCAGCTTTTATCACCACAAACTCTCTTCACGTCTTCGTCTGGGTCAGCACGTTGTCACCAGAGACATTTGTTTTATTTGCTTCTGTCAAAAGTTAAGTCCAATTCATGCTTCTGCATCGGAGCTCCACTCCAGCCAACCTGTAACCTACGCAGAGCCCTACATTGTACCCTGAGGTGCACCTCCCCAAAAATGTGCATCGAGGCGATGCAGACCGCAAGAGCTGTGATTGGTCCATTTGCGTTTTAGTCCCTCTGGTCCTGTCATGTACTTTCAGGAAGCACCTGTGGTTGTTGACGACTTCTCGTTTCTCTGGTTGTTGAAACAAAGGAACAAACTGAAGTCACTGAGTCGAAAATGATCTGAAGATACAAGAGAAGAAGAAAAAGAGAGAAATCATTAACTGCTCCAAGCACAAATACTCAGACTATTACTGTTTAAGGGAGTTTTACGACCAGAAGCAACGATGAGTAAAGTTGAGTACAAGAAGGCAGCGTTCGTATCCAAGATAATTTAGCTACATCTTTTTAAAAGTGGGAGGAAGTGGAGACACACTTATTTATAGTCTGTGGTTCTAAGCCAGTGACCCTGAAATGGGGAGTTTCCATATTGATCCATCCAATATTATCAAGGTATCTGGTTATTCTGTGTCTAATATCTCTCTAGAACATTTCACGTAACAAATATAAGTGAAAACATAAGCCTTGTGAAAAAGTTTGTTGGATTCTCAGTAATCCAGGTCCTGGTATCTTCAGAAGCTGCTCAGGTGAACAGATTATTTGGAGAGGTTTCACCTTTCATCGAGAGGCTTCTTCAGTATAACTGACTCAAGGCTTTAGAATTGAACCTCTGTGGGCAGACAGGCAGGTCTTCGACACCCCCACCAGTTAGTGGGGGGTTGGGCCCCTGTGAGTCAAGGCGTGTAAACCCACACTCTTCTTCTCTCTGGCAGGACCGCTGGAGCAGAAAAGGCTTGTTACGAGTGCTTTGATTGAATGTTTCATTTTCTCTTTTTATCAACACAACCAGGTACACGACAGATCCCTTTCTGTTCCTGTTCAGGTTTTCATAAAAAAGCAGAACTCAGACTTTCCACATCTCCATCTTCTGAAACTTGAATTACAAAACATTTATTGCAAAGTGTGGAAGAAGAAGAAGCTGCGCTGATGCAACAGTGACCGACCTGCACAGGTTTGGAAATGTCCTGAGCGTCACATGAGCAGAGTGACACAGCCACTGCAGACGGAACCTTCAGAAGCAGCAGGTTGTTTGACCTCAGAGCTTTGGAGTGAGAAGAAAGGTGCAACAGTGAATAATAAAATAAACGGTGCCAGCCCATTTAAAATCTTCAGATCAATTCTAACAGGAAGCCAGTGAAGAGAAGCCAGTACTGGTGTCATGTGATCACACTTTGTTTTCCAGTCAGAAGGCGAGCTGCTGGTTTAAAGCTAAAAACTGTGGAGGAATCATGGATCTCCTCAATATTTAATCTGATTAGTAAATTAAAGTGTAAAACCTTCAAATGAATGGCTGCATCCAATCACATTTTCTGACCATTATGGCGATTTTCAGTTCAACAAATTGAGAAATTGATGTTTATAAGTGAAGTTGGCCTGTTTGTCTTTTACATGATGTGTTGCTGAAGTCGTCTAAGTCGCATGTCATTTTTTTTACCATGTGATGTTTGTGTGTTTGTCCTTTTAGCGCCTCGCTGGGTGGACTCTCAGAAGTCGACAGAAACCAGACAGGTCACCCTGTCCGACTACTGCCAGTCACTCATCAACCTGCCACCTCACATCTCCCGCTGCACTCTCCTCTCCAACTTTTACAAAGTTCGACCAGAGGACGAGAACCCACCAGCCGCCAACACGTCAGTATCACACACACACACACACACACACACACACGATGGAGTGATGCATGTGAGAAATAATCATTCATTCGTCCACAGACAAAAGAGAAATGAGACGTTTGTGGTGTCTAGAGACTTGGCTCGAGGAAAGGCTTCTGGTAAGAGACATTCTTAAGCATTTTGGATTAGTCCAGATAATTTTCCTGTAAGTTAAATAGAGATAATCTTGTTTTGCTTCTCAGAGATCTCTGGCCCCATCATACTGGACACCTACAGGGTGATCGCAGACTTTGCCAAGACGTCCAAATACGAGATCGAGCTGCGAAACGGCGACTTGGTGGAAATCGTGGATAAAAATCAAAACGGTGAGAAAAGATTCCTCCAAACTTTCCTCACGTTATAATCATCTTATTTTAAAGATAACCTGAAATCACAAAGTTGAAAACTGTAAAACGTAAAAACCAAATGACAAATTAAAAACATTCTTCAGTACAATAACAATAATCATGACAGAAACGTGAATTAAAGATGCCAGGTCTTTTAAGATGGTGCTGTAGCTCAGCAGGTGGAGCGCAGCTCAGTCACCAATCACAGATCTTCATCTCGACAAAGTGCCCTTGAGCAAGACACGGAAGTCTTAATTTGCAGACAGTGTTCTGCTGCTGTTGGTTTGGACGATGTAACGTGTGAAGTTATGTGCGGTTAAAGAGTCTCTGTGGTTCTGGTCTTTCTTCAGGTTGGTGGTTCTGTCAGTGCGACACTAAACGAGGCTGGGCGCCAGCGTCGTACCTGGAGCCTCTCGACCAGCCGGACGAGGCCGAGGATGCCGAACCAGACTACGAAGGCAAGTTGCTGTTTTCATACTTACACAAGATATTTTCCTTTATTTAACAGCGTTGTTTCCCTGCAGGAGAGCTGTTCATCACCTCCAACGCCTACAAGGCCGAGCAGGAGGACGAGATTTCTCTGGAGCTTGGGGAAACCATTGAGGTCATCCACAAGCTGCTGGACGGCTGGTGGGTCGTCAGGTGTGATTCATGTTTTCATTTATAACCAGTTAGTTTGTTATCTGTCAGACCAAGTCCTCAACTGGATAAAGCTGATTTTTCATACATTTTATTATTGATTTTGACTCATTGATTCTGTTTTGTACAGAAAAGGAGAAGAGACCGGACATTTTCCCTCCATGTATCTGCAGAAGGCGGGAAAACGAGAGAGACAAGAGGCTGGACGGACAAACCCACAAGGACAGAAACTTCCACCTCGCAGGTGAGAGGGACGTTAGAGAAGACAACCCTGAAAACTATGTGTCTGTTTATTTTCTTCATATTAAATGTATTCAAACATTACAGCCGAAAATATGATCTACGCTTTAATTTACATCTTTATAATTTAATTTATTCTTAAAAATAAATCAAACAAAGTTCTTCCAGTTTTCAAGAACTAAAAGCTGTGAAGTATTTGAGAACAAATTAGTTTTCAGAACCAGGATGTTTACATGTTTATTTAGACTGTAAAGTTGGACATGTTATGGATTGACTCACTTTAGGAGCCAGCCTCCAGTGGCCATTCAGGGAACTACACTCTCGCAGTGGCTTCATTTCTCGGTCAGTTCTGAGGTCAACGCCCACCTCATTGACTCACTACTTGTTTCCATCTCAGATCCACCATTAGAAACGCCAAGAGCATTCACAAGAAGTCTCGCCAGAAGCTCAGTCAGGACACCTACCGCAGGAACAGCCGCCGATACCTCCAGCAGAAGGATGGTCGCCGCACCGAGCCACAAAGGAACTCCAAGAACAATGCCAAGTCGCCCCTGAAGGAGAGGAAAAACCAGGGTAATGACCCACTCGTCAAACTCTCATATTCACTTGGTTACTGGCGTTATAACATCAATCAGTGTGACATTTTCTGGTTTTTTTTTTTCTGCTCTGGCACAAACATCCTCTCACAAACCATCACTCTGAACTCAGGTGCTTGTACACCCTGATTGTTTTCTCACTTCTGACACACAGACAACATCCCTGAGCCCGGATCCAGCTCGGAGAGCGAGGTGAAGCGGGAGGCTCCAGTCGTTCCTCCCCGCCCGAGTCCAGAGCTCATCCTGGAGCGATGCACGGACAACACCCGGAAGAGAGTCAGCGTCAAGTCATGCTCCAACTCCAGCAGCGAAAGTGGAGATAAAGGAAACACACACACACAGGAAATACAATCTGTCTGAGGCGCTTTTAATAGTTATAAATTACATAACTCTCTAAAACACCTCACAAACATATTGTTTCATTGTCGAAGAAAGATTCAGTGATTTCCTAAACAGCTCTTATTCAAAAAGTAGAGGAAACTAGTGCTTCAGTAGCGGATTAATCCAAGAAATATTTAAAAGAGAAAATTGTCATTTTATGCTTTGTTATATTTCATGCGGATTCAGCAAACAAGATATAACATATTAATATCAAATATAGTCAGTTTCAGACAGAGCCAGGC